ATTCATGCTCTGTCTCTCTCTGTCCCAAAAATAAATAAAAACGTTGAAAAAAAAAAGTGCTATATTTATTTTGGGAGATGGCAAGAAAAAATTTAAATGGTCTTTTGTAATGTTAAACACTACAGTTTTTGTGTGACGTAAACTAACAACACTATTAATGTCCCAAATTATCCATTTAAATTTTAGTAAATGAAAAGAGAGATCTATTGTTTTTCAAGGGGTGGGCCTAGAGGGACAGAGGAAGGATGGAGTCCCTGGGCCGGGTTTAGAAGCTGGGATGGGGGGAAAGCTTGGCTGTAGGTATTCATGAAGTCTGAAAATACTTGAGTCAATAGCTGAAAAGCTTGATTGGCTGCTAATGCAAGGCTGAATGCAAATTCTGCTGGAGTGGTGCTTTACATAATTTGTTGGCTTCATTCTTAATTAGGCTAAACATTGACTTGCTTGTACGATTAATTCACAATAATAGTACAATTAATTACCAAGGCTGGGAGTAAGGGGCCTGAGCTGGTTGCTGAGAATGGGCTGGAGAGAAGAAAAGTTGGAAGTGAATGGCTGGGTCTGGTCCTGGGGGCTGACCCAGTGGGGTGCTGGAGGGAGGGAGGCAGGCTTGGTGAGAGAGAAAGGGAGGGAGGGAAGGGAAAGGGGAGTTGGTGGGGGAGGGTCGGGCAAGGGAGAAAGAGACTTACTTAGCCAGCCAGAGGCAATATAGCAATAGGGCACAGTTGGCTGCTTTTAATAGTATTGGTTTCACATTACTTGGTTTTGATAGTACAAAGGTAAAATAGCGCAGCACAGCCAAATTATCACGAGTTTACTGTAAGTGTTGTCTGAATTGATGAAGTTTTAAAACACTAATGAAAAACACAATCGATGTTGCATCCTTATTACTGTGTGTGAGTGCATTATTATCTGTCCAGAATCGACATTGTTTTGGCACACTTAAGAGGTGTTCCATGATCCTTGTTTACAGTTGCTTATTTCGACTCTCTCATTAAATAGTTTATCAGCTTGTTACAGGGGAAAAATTCGAATGCGGCAATTGAAAGACCTGGACTTTAGCCCCATCTTAGCCGCTCACTGGCAAAAATAACTTGGAAAAGTTAGACCGTTTCTCATTTTTAAGACATAGGTTGCTGTTACAGGATTGTTACTGGGTTTACTATTATCTTTTTATTTTATTTTATTTTTTCAACATTTATTTATTTTTGGGACAGAGAGAGACAGAGCATGAACGGGGGAGGGGCAGAGAGAGAGGGAGACACAGAATCGGAAACAGGCTCCAGGCTCTGAGCCATCAGCCCAGAGCCCGACGTGGGGCTCGAACTCACGGAGCGCGAGATCGTGACCCGGCTGAAGTCGGACGCTTAACCGACTGCGCCACCCAGGCGCCCCTACTGGGTTTACTATTATCAACCTCACCATTATTATTGTTAATCTTGGGGAAATGCATGCTTCCAAAGTGGAGAAACAAACTAAACATAATCTTGGTCACCATTGGCTTTGCTTTGTACGGAGGGCAATGTGTTGTCCTAGAAATAGCATGGACTTGTGTGCTGACACTCTTTTTTGCTATGTGACCCCAGGCAAACTTCACTATCGGAGCCACATTTCCACTGATGCAAAATGGGGATGTTAGTACTGCCTTAAGGTTGTTGTGACAATCAAAGAAGACAATGTGTGCAAAGAGATTGGTGTGTTGCCCACCATGTAATGAGCTCCTAATAAGTGTTAGTTGCTTTTATAATAATAGAAAATACATTTTAGTTTCTCAAGTACTTTAGCTCTCAGTAAGTATTAGTTATAATGATAACAGTAAGTACTTCGGCCATTATAACAAAATGATATAATACATGTCAATGATCTTACTACTTTATTGTCATTACAACTATGGTGATTATTATCAATGTATGCAAACTAGCACTAGTAGGTCTTCAATAAATATTAATTTCCTATGCCATAATAGTACATAATACATAATCTTAAATATACTTTCATTATAGAGTCAGATTAGTATATGCAATACATAGCACTCAGTTCAAGTGCTATGAATGCATCTTTATGAATATACATAAACTGTTCCTTATTTTTCATCAATGAAAAGCAAATACACAGAGCTAATATAATATTTAATCAGGATTCAGAAGAGGAAATCAAACATATATTAAGTTACTAAATGATTATTTGCTAAGTTTGTCTTTTTTGAAAAGAGGGAACATTTGGTGAAATTATTGATGATAACATGGGAATTAATGACGTGGCAGTCATGCATCTGTGCATGTGTGTGAATATCCATTATCCAGAGACTGTGTAATAATGAATATCTTTAATTTTCATCTCAGTCCCTTTTTCCCAGTGGTGAACATGTAGGAAATCATTACTTTCCAGGCATGAAAAGTTGATGTATATGATAGCCTGAGGCTTACGTTTTATCAGAAGTTATATAGTTTAATTTAATAAATGAATAAGAGGGACCCAGCACGAGCTGAGAAAGTGACATTTCGGTGACAAGTAACCCCCTTTGTCACCTATTAACCCCATAGTTATTCTTGAGGGAATCAGAGAACCAGTAAACAGAATTCTGTTAATAAAATGTTTCATCATTCCGATCGTTCCCTGTCAAGGTAACATCACTTGTAGCACTGTTGTGTTCACTACTCTGGCTGCAGAGTCAGGAATGTCTACAACTTCTACTCTTGCACCGGATCGGGAGGATAGTGCCTTTCTGTGGTAAAGATAAATGAGCCCCGCTTGTGTTTTCCTCGAGAGGAGAATTTCATTGGAACTGCTTAGCTTCTTTCTATTTCAGTTTCCTTTAGGCTACTGCCAGGGTACCCTGATGCTCTACTTTTTTTTTTTTTTTTTTTCTTAGAGAAGCAAATGTGCATAAAATACTTGAACCAGTTAGTTACAAAAGACATAGAAAAACATCATATTTAAGTAATGTATTAAATGGATACCCTTACCTAATTGAAAAAAAAACACAAACCTGCTTTACGTCCTTTACAATAAAAGATTAGTAAAATATACACAAAATATGAAGACAGAAAAGGGGTATTAGATTTTGACTTGTATTTTGTAGACTACATAGTTTAATCCTCTCCCCCCAAAATGCATATTTTAAAAGATGAGGAGGATGGTTCCCAGGGATGTTGCAAAGCATTAAGATGTTCAGCATTCTGTGTAATAATAGAGAAGAATATATACCACATGTTCAGTTTTTTAGGAAAAATGTTAATAGATTTCTTTGCTTCAAGATCATCCATATACTACCTAAATATGCACATTTAAAACAATTTTTTTTCTTAATGTTTTATTTATTTTTAAGACCGAGAGAGACAGAGCATGAGTGGGGATGGAACAGAGAGGGAGAATCTGAAGCAGGTTCCAGGCTTTGAGCTGTCAGCACAGAGCCCGATGCGGGGCTCAAACTCACGAACTGTGAGATCATGACCTGAGCCAAAGTCAGATGCTCAACCAACTAAGCCACCCGGGCGCCCCTAAATATGCACATTTTTAATATAAAATGTATATTATAGGTAATAGTATGTGTTATTCAATATACTGTTATACATGTATATGTATATATAATATTTATTAGATAGTCAAATTTATTTATTAAACCATTTTACTTTTATTAGAGAATTTGATGTGCAAACTTAAAGCTAAGCATATAAAATAAATCATTGATCAGGGCACCTGGGTGGCTCAGTTGGTTAAGCGCCGGGCTTTTGATTTTGTCTCAGATCATGATCTCACAGTTCGTGAGATTGAGCCCCACATTGGGCTCTCTGCTGACGGCGCAGAGCCTGCTTGGGATTCTCTCTCTCTCCCCACCTCTCCCTCCCCCTCCCCCTCCCCTGCCCCTCCCCCTGCTCGTGTGTGTGCATGCACTCTCTTTCTCTCAAATAAATAAACTTAAAAAAATGAATCATTGATGATAAAGTTATAAGTTACTACAGAGAGATAAGAGGCTGTAGCTTATACTGAACCTTACAGTGACATCTTAACTGAATATGTGGATCTATATAAAACTGATAAGTGAACAGGATTACATAGGTCTTAAATGAGTAACAGATATGATATTTCTGTTAGGATCATGTTAAGTTAACACAGGGCTCAGAAGAAAGGACAGCTAAGCTACAGAACGTCAGCTGCTTAAACAATTCACTTGTCTGGATAGGGTGGCCTTGATTATCACTTTACTACATCATCTAAGGTAAGTCAGTTTAGGGTAAGTTTCTAAAAATTCAATGACCTACATTAAACTAGTAGAAAAGCTAGATTTGTGCACCTATTTGGGGAATTGCTTCTAGAGACTTTATTACCTAGACTCATCAGGCTTTGGGAGGGTTTTTAATTAAAATTCACAATAGCCATTTTTCCTTATCTTTCGTAGGAGCAAGGTATCAAACACTGTTGATCTGTTTGAGATCAGCCTCATTGATTAAAAGAACATTTTTTGAGTACCTACTTTGGGCACTGATTACCAGTTACAGTTTAAAGACTCATCTCCTTGAGATCAAACAAGTATCCAGAGCTGGTTCAGCTCTGGAGGCAGGTCACAGGCACATTTTCATCATAGCCAGACAATGAATGGTGATGAGTTACAAAGACAAGGTAGGAGTCTAGGGCAAGGAGATCCAAGTCAAGGTTGGCAACCAGAGGTTACCTATCATGGTTAGAGACTAAACTCATAGATTACTTAAGAATCAGCAACAAGGCAGAGCTAAAGTCAGGAGTTTTGGAGAATTTAATGAACACCATGGATCTTCTTCCCCAGCCTCCTAAATTTTGCATACAGTGTGAGGGAGTTTATGGGCTCCATGTTAAAAGCCACTGAAGTTGGTATCTCAGAATTAGAACACTGAACAGGAGGCTCCAGTGATAAGATCTTAAAACTAAGATCCTACCAGTCAGGATGGGTTAGAGTCTGTGTCAGTAACAAACAAATCCAAAATTTCAATGGCTTAAGGCAATGAAATTTGTTTTTTACTCACACTACATTTCATTGTGAGTCGATTGGAGGACTCTGCTTCATCATCCTCCCTCTGGGACCGTGGTTGAAATAGTAACTACATTGTAATGTTGAGAGTTGCTCCTGGAGTCTCAGGGAAATAATTCAACATTCGATGGAATGTAACTTCTTCTCACAATTTTTTTTTTTAACTGTGTAAAAAAATTTCTTTTTTTTTAACTAAAAAATTAAAAAAAAATTTTTTAATGTCTATTTACTTTTGAGAGAGACAGAGACAGACTGTGAGTGGGTTAGGGGCAGAGAGAGAAGGAGACACAGAATCCAAAGCAGGCTCCCGGCTCCGAGCTGTCAGCACAAAGCCTGACATGGGGCTCGAACTCATGAGCTGTGAGATCATGACCTGAGCCAAAGTCAGACGCTCAACCAACTGAGCCCCCAGGCACCCCAAAATTTTTTTTCAATTTAAATTTTAGTTAACATACAGTGCAATATTGGTTTCAGGAGTAGAATTTAGTGATTTATCACTTACATACAACACCCAATGCTCATCACAACAAATGCCCTCCTTGATACCCATCACCAATTTGGTCCATCTCCCACCCACCTCCCTCCTTCAACTCTGTTTGTTCTGTATCACTGAGAGTCTCTTGGGGTCTGTTTTCCTCTCTCCTCTTCCCCTTCCCCTCCCCCTGCTTCCCATATGTTCATCTGTTTTATTTCTTAAATTCCACATATGAGTGAAATCATATGGTATTTGTCTTTCTTTGATTGATTTATTTCACATAGCATAATAATACATTCTATTTCCATCCATGTCATTGAAATGGCAAGATTCCATTCTTTTTGATAGCTGATTAATATTCCATTATATATATATATATACACACACACACACACACACACACACACACACACACACCCCACATCTTCTTTATTCATTCATTAGTTGATGGACATTTGGGCTCTCTCCATAGTTTGGCTATTGTTGATAATGCTGCTATAAATTTAAGGGTGCATGTATCCCTTCAAATCTGTGTTTGTATCCTTTGGGTAAATACCTAATAAGGCAGTTGCTGGATCATAGGGTAATTCTATTTTCCATTCTTTTGAGGAACCTCTTTACTATTCTCCAGAGTGGCTGCACCAATTTGCATTCCTATCAAGAGTGCAAGAGGGTTCCCCTTTCTCTGCATTCTCTCCAACACCTATTGTTTCTTGTATTGTTAATTTTAGGCATTCTGACAGGTGTAAGGTGGTATCCGATTGTGGCTTTGATTTGTATTTCCCTGATGATGAGTGATGTTGAGTATCTTTTTATGTGTCTGTTAGCCTGTTAGCCATCTGGATGTCGTCTTTGGAAAAGTGTCTATTCATGTCTTCTGCCCATTTCCTACCTGGGCTGTTTGTTTTTTGGGTGTTGAATTTGTTAAGTTCTTTACAGATTTTGGATACTAACCCTTTATCAGATATGTGATTTACAATTACCTTCTCCCATTCCACAGGCTGCCTTTTAGTTTTGTTGATTGTTTCCTTCACTGTGTGGAAGCTTTTGATTTTGATGAGGTCCCAATAGTTCATGTTTGCTTTTGTTTCCCTTGCCTTTGGTGACATATCTAGTAAGACGTTGTTCTGGCCAAGGTCACAGAGGTTGCTGCCTGTGTTCTCCTCAAGGATTTTGATGGTTTCCTGTCTCACATTTAGGTCTTTCATCTATTTTGAATTTATTTTTGTGTATGGTGTAAGAAAGTGGTCTAGTTTCATTCTGCATGTCACCGTCCAATTTTCCCAACACTACTTGTTGAAGAGACTGTCTTTTTTCCATTGGATACTCTTTACTGCTTTGTTAAAGACTAGTTGACACACAACTTTGATTAGCACTAATTACTTGGCCCCAACCAAGCACAAGGAGACTGGAAACTGTATCCAGGAAGAATTAGGATATCAGGAAGCACATAATCGCTTCCTAGTTGAGGTAAGAGTGGCCGCATATGGTAGTCAGTAGCATTATTCCGGGTACATGGTATGATTGCAGTTCCAAGCCTCCTTCTGCACTTTCTAACAGTGTCTTTCTTCCTATAAAGGGGATATATATATAATGATTTTTTACAAAATCATCAAAACTATGATGTGACAGAAAAGGAATGAATGAATTTCACATCAAAATCTGATTGATGTGTATGCAGAATCTAATCTAGTTGTATGCAGTGTTAATATCATATGGCCAATCAGGTAATTAAAAGCACAGTAATTGATCAGAGAAATCTATTTGATAGCAGGAAGGAATGGTTTCAAGGTATTATTGATCGATTGATAGTTAACATGCTCTGGTTCAGTTCTTGTGTACCTCTAGTATACATTTTGATTTGGTGAATATATTCATTGTGTTGGGTGTTTCTCATGCCATGTCTGTTCTGAACACTTTCAATGTCATCTATGATTATTAGAAATAAATGAGTTGAGTTAGTGGATTTAGGAGAAAAGACACTGGTCAGTGGGACCTTATGAAGATATGGGTAAATATATAATTTGTCAGAGAAATTATGAGATGTTTTGCCTTCTTATGTCTACAAAATTGGGATAGGTCAAGAACACAGCTGGAATTTGATCAATTAGAATAGAGAATCCAACTGAGGCTGAACTTATGCACTCCTCCTGGTTGCCCTGGCAACAGGGCCCCCTTTCCATGCTAGCAATATTATAGTGTGAGTGAAGAAATAATTGGAGGTACAGAAATATTTGTTCAAGTCAACTCCTCCTTCTGGGAAAGTTAAGGAGGAGTTTGCTAAAGGCAAAAGATGAGGTCATGAGAGGGGAAGAATTTGAATTAAAAAAGAAAAAAAAATAATTAAATTGAACCTGAGCCTGAAAGCTTCTGGGCATAGCACTGCTCATAGCAATGTTTCTTCCCAACTTTGGTTGAAGGCAGAGTAGATAGTAAATCACATGGTTGCATATCTACGTTATCTCTTTCATTGTAGCCCAGGAAAAGCACTGGACTGGGAAATTGTGACCTGTATAATTGGCTTGGATTGGAGCCATCTGCTTTGTGGATTGCTCTGTCTGCTCTTACAGCTAGCCAAGAAGTTCTCATTTGCCCAGAAGGGTTAAGAGGGAGTCAAAACAGCCTTGTCCATATTTTTCCTGTGAATTTAGCTTACTTTGTTTTTAATGTTGTCCTTAGTTGTATTTTATCCGTGCCACATATATCTTTCAAATTCTGCTCAATAGTCTGAGCCTTTTCTTCTTTTATTAAATATATGTTGACTGTGCACCTCTGCTTGGAGAACAGAGAGATTGGGAAGAGTTAGCAATGAGCATTTCCTGTTTCACTTCTGCCTTTTCTTTCGCTGAACCCTTCCCACTAGCAAAAGAAGAGGATACAAGGTGATCCCTTTATCCCATTCCCTGTAGCCAGAGTAGAAATAAGGAAGAAAACTACAAAGCATTACTTAAACTGTGGCGTCGGGGCACTCTGACACATATGGGTGCCCTACCTAAAATCAGTAGGAGAGAATAGAGAGAGACCTGGATAGAAAAAGGATCATCTGAGGATGTTCTAGAAAGAAGACTTGGCCTTGATGCACACTGAATATTCCTGGACAGTTGTAATTACTTTGTAGCCAAGTTCAGTTTCTAATAGGGACCATGAGATTGTTTCAAGATAAAGGATCTCATGGCCTCTTGTCCATGAATAACTTGTATCAGGTTAGAATATAGTAAGAATGAGTTCCTGGAAAGTTTTACAAATTCATGTTCATAGTAAAGCCTCAGGAAAGGCCTTATTATTGACCAAAGTGTGGTCAAGGTTAAGGACTGACTGACCAAGTGAATTCCATTTTCTGCTCGCATGACTATTGCTTAAGAAAATTTAAATACGTTCCGGGGCGCCTGGTTGGCGCAGTCGGTTAAGCTTCCGACTTCAGCCAGGTCACGATCTCGCGGTCCGTGAGTTCGAGCCCCGCGTCAGGCTCTGGGCTGATGGCTCAGAGCCTGGAGCCTGTTTCCCATTCTGTGTCTCCCTCTCTCTCTGCGCCTCCCCCGTTCATGCTCTGTCTCTCTCTATCCCAAAAATAAATAAACGTTGAAAAAAAAATTAAAAAAAAAAAAAAAAGAAAATTTAAATACGTTCCATTTTGCTTAAGGCAAACCTATCAAGCTCCATTTTTTTTTCAACTCAGATCCCGATTGAAATAAAGGGGGACCCCTGTCATAGGAGAAAATGACAGTAACTGTATGCAGTGGGCAGCCTTTGAGGTGGTCCTGATGTTCCCTGCTTCTGATATTCAAGCCAGTGTAGGGTGAGTGTAGGTTGAACCAAGTGGCTAGCTTTTAATGAATAAAATATAGTAAGATGATGGGGTATTATTTCTAAGATTAGACTTCTGTCTTGTTTGCCTTGTTTTCTGTCTGTCTCCATCTCTGTCTCTGTCTGTCTGTCTCTCTCTTGGAACCCTTACTCTGGAGCAAAATTACCACACACAATTTCTGTAGTCTTATGGGAGGCCCGTGTGGCAAGGAGCTGTTTCCAAACATTCCTCAAGGACCTAAGACCCACCAGTAGTCATGTGAGTGTGTTTGTAAGCCAGGCCTCCCCAAATCAAGCCTTGAGAAGACTTTTGCCTCTGCTGGTGTGGGAACTGTAGCCTGTGACCTGGCCTCTGAGCCAGAGGATGCTGTTCAACTGTGCTCAGATTGCTGACCCACAGAAATTGTGAGATAATAAATGCTTACTGTTACAAACCACTACATTTTGGGATAATTTATTCCTCAGCAGTGAATAGTTAATATACTGTACTTAAATAATGGGTTCTGTGTGATGAAAATGTTCAGAAAGAAAAAAAATACATAGACACAGACACACAACAGACACACAGACACACAGACACACACACACACACACACACACACACACACACACACACATCTAGAATTGCCACAAAACAAATTCCCTTTGTATGCTGTGTAGTTTTTCCTATACTCTTCTTCAGTCTCTGCACTAATTTTATTTTCTGCTCCATGCTTTTCTGGATATCTTCCTCCATGTTGATGGTGGGGAAACGTTAAAGCTGTCCCATAAAATATTAGCAAGTAATCAACAGAGAACCCAGTCTCAGGCTTAAAGATCATGCATTGCATTATACAATGTATATTTGGGAGAAGCACTACAGGTCTTTCTTAGGAAAACCAAAAGAAAAATTTTCCTGTGAGTTTTCATAAAGAGAACCCTCTAAAATGTAGAGAATGACAT